GAGGAATTTAACTGAGCTATCTGTAACATTTAGCTTCGCTAATCATTCACGTTTCTACCCAGAAATACATACGAAATACATTATCATATCATATCAAATACATATCAATACATTATCAAAGTAAATATGGTAGCTATGTACTGGGAGTCCTTTTGGAAACAAATATATCAGATCTTTATCAAAAATTGATTAACACATTTAAATACTTCAAAAAGCAGGACCTTGTACTATTATACAGAGGGTGCTTTATTCAGATTGTTATATGAATTTTTTTCTCCCATCTTCAGCTTCTTATATCTTTGTTTTTCATTATCTCACAAAACACAAATTCCTCCCTAAATGACACTCGATTGATAAGTTATTAATGTTAGTTTAAATAAACTTATTTTTCTTGGATTGTTGCACGTTCTTCCCCTTTAGAAAGCTACATTGAGGATTTTTTTTTTTTCCAGTTAGCTTTATGTATGTCCTCAAATAAGAAAATTAGGTGCTATTGTTTTCACAAATGGCTATGTAGCATTGCTTCTGAATCATTTGCTTGTTAATTAAAGGATAACCCAGATAGAAGTTAAATGGAGTAGTCATGGCCTGCCTTGGTATTTTAGAAAATACTGGCCACCAGTTAACACTGCAACTTATCAGATATCTACCTGCCCAACTGAGACGGTAGGTTTGAAAGTATACAAATAAAGAATATACATCATGATGAACAATTCATTCAAAAACTTTGAACAATTTTATGGGGAAAGACATTGTATGCTACATTTTTTAACCTACAAGGCATCATAAAAAATTAACTATGAAAAGATTTGTTGGCTGGCTTTATTTAATTACTGGGTTTTTTTTAACTCCATCTGAGCTTATGTTTCAAAGACTGGCCCAGTATGGTAGCTCATGCTTATAATCCCAGCATTTATGGTAGGCCTAGACAGGAGGATCACTTAAGCCCAGGATCACCAGCCCTGGCAACACAGTGATACCCCCATCTCTATTCTATTTTTTTAATTTGAAAAAAAAAAATGCAAGACAGGCTAGACTAGAGTGAGAGGAATGAGGCACTAGCCTTACTTAAAATTTAGGGGAATACCAAATAACACAGTGATCAAGATGTATCATATCTTAATGCAATCTTTTTAAAAATCAAAATTAAAACCAAAAACAGTCATGAGAAACAATATAACAAAAATTTAAACAAAGATCCAAAGAGGTCCGCATTCTGTCATGTTGCCGAACTAATATTACTATTATTCGTTTGAGTCTAGGTGAAAGAAATAGGTAAGGAATCTTGCTGTTTTCTTCTTCGTTATAAAGATAAAAACAGATCTAAACTTAATATCTCCAGCTCATGGCATCATTAGTTTAGTGATATTTTAGTCAAAATTAGTGAATAGTAACCATTATTTCCTACCATCTACACTTACAATATGTCACTTAATTTCAATGTCATTATCTTAACTATGAATCTTCCTAAAGTACTACACTACTTGGAAAACTAAAGGGAAGTTTAAGAAGTAATCCATTTCAATTTGCTATGTTTGTGGCATATTTTCATCATTCAGGGTTATTTTACTTGCGTCTGAGTTTATTATATAAATATAGATACACCCCCAGCTACATAAGACATTTTCTTTTAGTATTTTGGGATGGGGGAATTTTTCTAGAATATGAAAAAAAGGAAAAGATCATCTATAGATATTTTCTTTTAGATTTTCCTTATATATAACATAGGAATAATTTATTTATTGAATAATTGATTTCATTCTATATAGAGCTATCACTACATTTCTTTACTTTCTTATGTAGCAAAACTCCTTAAAAGAGTGGTCTACACTTGATATTGTTTCAAACTTCTTCACATTGTTTCTCTTCTTAAACTTCTTATCATAAAATAACTTCAATTTATCAAAAATCTGCAAGAATACTCATATACTCTTTCTCCATATGCACCATTTGTTATATTTTGCAATCTTTGCCTTGCTGCAATACATTTTTTTCTTAACACTTTATTGTACATATGCCACTTTATCACTAAATATTTCAGCATGTATTTTCTAACAATGAAAGCATTCTTTTGTAACCACACTTCAATTATCATTCAAATAATATGTTTGGGGTATTTCTGGGCAATCACTGTGATGTCAACACTCAAGTTTTAAAAGGCACATGTGAAATGAGTATTAAAATATTTATAAATATGAATGTCTCATGCATAAATCCGTATCCAAAATTATCCTAATAATGTCATTTATGAAATTTTTTTCTGATACAGAATCCAGTTAAGTGTCATGCATTGCATTTAGTGCACTGTCTCTAGTATTCTTTATTATGAAACAATACCTAAAGCTGTCTTTGTCTTTCATGATATCGACATTTTTTAAGAGCGCACAGGCTGATTGTTTTGTGGAGTGTCCTTCAACAATTTTGTCTAATGTTTCCTCTTTATTAGAATCAGATGTGCATTTGGGGCAGGAACACAATATGTGTGAGGTTGTATCCTCAGTGCATTACGTTAGGAAGAGCATGATGTCAGTTTCTGGTGGCATTAACTTGGATTACTTAGGAAAGATGATGCCCCCTCCACATTTTTCCACTAAAAAACTACCCATGTTTTTCTTCTCCAATATTAATAAGTCTTCTGTGGGTAAATGCTTTGATATTGGGTAATTACCCCATTGCTTTTTAAACTTTTCACTTAATAATTTTAGTATCCGTTAATGATTCTGGCCTGAATCAGTCATTACCATATTGGCTGCAAAATGGTAATTTTCCAACTATTATTTCTTCTACATTTATCAGTTGGCACATTCTACAAAGAAGAGATTTCACTTCTCCTTATTTACTTACTTACCTTATCACCAGTATGAACTCATTGGTTCTTACTTCAGCCAATGGTTTATAATCCATTCTTTTGTTATTCATTTTGAGGCTCAGATTTCCCATATTTTCTCAGACCCCTTGATGTTGTCACTTCTGTCATTTTTAAATGATTCCATCATTTTTTTAGTTCCCTCTTATTTTCTAGTATAACAAGATGCTACAGTTCATCTGGTACATTTTCCATCCCTGCCCTAGAACTGGCCATTTCACCAAGATAAATCTGGTCCCTATTAGCAAAAAGTCATATTTTAAAACCACAGTCTGGGTGCTAGGTGTGCTCATTGCTACCAGAGTGTTGCTGCTTCTAGGTACACAATAAAATGTGCTCAAGTACTGTGCATAGTTCATGGCCAACTCTCAGTCTTCAAGGTACCTGACCCATTAGCAGCATTTAATTTTGATGATCACATCTTCCTACTGGCAATACAATCTTCATGAAGCTTCTAGGAAATGATATTCTCTTGGCTTTTCTCTGTCCTCATGGGATACTCCTTCCCAGTCCTCTTTAATTTGCCCTACTTTTCTCTAAACCCATCTAAAGTCAAGGTAGAGTCTAGAATTCAGACTTCGATCCTTTTCTCGTCCGTATCTATACTTACTCCATAGGTAATCTCATCTGACAACTCTCAAGTTTTTATCTCAAGTCCAGTCTTCTCCCTCAAGCTCTGGATTTTATATCCATTTATTTCTACTTAGCATCCTCACCTGCATCTCTGATAGATGTCTAGATACAACATGTGTAAAATCGAACCACTCCAGACCTGGTCCACCTATAGGTTGCCCTTGAATTATGCCTTTGCATGCATAATGCAGCCTAAATAACAAACTGAATTTGGTCAGTCACTGCCATCAGGGAGCACCATTGTTTCCTCTGCCTCTGCCATCTGTTGTGATTTTTGAGTTCCATAGAGGAAAGGGGGAGATAGGGGAAGGCAGGACAGAAGCCAAAATTACTTTACATATGAGCCGTACATTTCCTACTAGACTGTTAAATTGACTCTACATTCAAAATTGGCAGCAGACGTCACTAATGTGGCCCTAGAGTGATTCATATAATTTCAGCTGAGATAAGAAATATCTTGACAGACATTCAAATAATGTGTTTGGGGTATTTCTGGACAATCACTGTGATGTCAACACTCAAGTTTTGAAAGGCACATGTGAAATGAGTATTAAAATATCTCTACTGGTAAGATTAGATTTTTATGGCAACCAGTAAGAGAGAATACACCATTAGAAAGTAAACACTCTCTGCTTCTTGTCAGGGGCATCCAGGTTACTTTTTGTGCTAAGATTATTGGTTCCCTTGCCAGTGATGTTCCTGGGATATTATTAGGAACCATTTCCTCACATGTAAACTGGTATATTCACAACCCTTCTAATTCAGGTGGAAAACATTATACAAGTGAGAGTGTGGGATGAGAACTTGGTCTAAATGTTTGAGTGTCAGTTCCACTATAGTAGAAAAAGAATAACTGCTCATTTCAAATGCATGCAGAACTGTGTGAATTTCACTTAGCATACCAGCATCATTAACAAGAAAATGAAATTCTTAATTCATATATTTCATGGTCTTCCAAAATTACATTCTGAAACACCTTGACATTTTAGTCAATGTAATGCATAAGAAATATAGTTAGGTCGGGTGCAGTGACTCTCTTCTATAATCCCAGCACTTTGGGAGGCCAAGGTGGGTGAATAGCTTGAGTTCAGGAGTTCAAGACGAGCCTGGGCAACATGGCGAAAACTTGTCTCTACAAAAAATGTAAAAATTAGCTAGGCATGGTGGTACATGCCTGTAGTCCCATCTACTCGGGAGGCTAAGGTGGGAGGATCGCTTGAGCCCAGGAGTCAGAGGTTGAAGTGAGCCAAGATTGCACCACTGCACTCCAAACTGGATGACAGTGTGAGACCCTGACTCAAAAAATAAGTAAAAAATTTAAAAAATATATCAGGTGTGTTCATGAAGCATTTCAAATGTAGAATTCAATAGACTATATTTTTAAAAGTATAGAAAGCATCCTCTAAATTTCTCTCCTTTTAATACATTATATTTTTACAGAGTGGAGAAAGTTGGCTCTCTTTTAAATATATAAATTTCTTGACTTGATGACTTTCCACAGATACAACATACTCAGGGGAGATTGGCACCAAGAAAAAGGTGAAAAGACTATTAAGCTTTCAAAGATACTTCCATGCATCAAGGCTGCTTCGTGGAATTATACCACAAGCCCCTCTCCACCTGCTGGATGAAGACTACCTTGGACAAGCAAGGGTAAGCTGACTGCCCCTGTCTCCTCACAGCAGGCCAGCGGCCAACAGTATGTGCCTCAGCCAATAGCACTGGTGTTGGAGTCCTACTCTGCCTCTTGAGGAGCTCTGTGACCCTGAGCTCATTATTCCATACATCTGGACTTATTCCTCTAATAGCAAATGAAATTAACAGAAACATCCCCCTTATGAGGTGCACGAAGTAAACCATGTTTATATGCTTAATATACCCATGCCTAACTTTTCATTTTTTTAAAGGTACGAAATATATTTGCATGATACTAAGTAAAGCAAAATTTTGGACTGGCAGATTACTAATGAAAGAATAACTAAAGTTTTTAATTTATTAAATTAGCTCATTGTAATAGCTACACTAAAAATAACCCAATCATTATCAACTCTTAATTCTACTTTAGGCTGTTGATGCACTGCATTTTCCTTTTCATAATTTTTAATTCATTTGAATAAATCTTAATAACTCTACAATTACTTTTGTAATACATTGATCTGACTGAGGGTGGAAATTAATGTGTGACAATCTGCAAAAAGTGTTCAGGTTATGTCTACCCCAAACTGCCAAAGGAATTTAAATTTCAGCAATAAATGCCCCAGTTTAAACAGAAGTCAAAGATAGATTTCATAGCTTGCATGCTAAGTGATATTATACTATTTATATACTATTATGAAATATATACCACTGGCAAAGCCCAGTGCCTCATGCCTGTAAATCCCAGTACTTTGAGAGGGCGAGGCAGGAGGATTGCTTAAGCTGGGGAGGTTAAGGCTTCAGTGAGGTATGATGATACTACTGTACTCCAGCCTGGGGGACAGAGTGAGACCAGGTCTCACAAAGAAAGAAAAAGAAAGAAAAGAAAGAAAAAGAAAAGAAATAAAAGAAAGAAAGAAGGAAGGAAGGAAGGAGAAAAGAAAAGAAAAGAAAAAAGAAAAGAGAGAGAGGAGGAAGGGAGGGAGGGAAGGAGGAAGCAAGGAAGGAAGGAAGGAAGGAAGGAAGGAAGGAAGGAAGGAAGGAAGGCAGGAAGGCAGGCAGGCAGGCAGGCAACTAATATATGCCATGAGCAAATGAACAGCAAGTAATGTCAAAAGAGCTAATTCCCAATATTAGGCCTCCAAAAGGATAAAAAAAATCATTCCTAACAACTTAAGGTCTGATATTGGGCAATTTTTGAATGTTTGCTTGCTTGTTTGCTTATGAGAGGAGAACAAGTCTAAGCTTCCCCAGCCCTGGAATATCACTGACAGAGCACTCTTGGTGGTGTCTCTCCTCTAAGCAGCCACCTTTCAAGAAAGGTGGTGTGAGATGTGGAAAGGACAGAGGGCTGGAAGTCCAGCTATCAGAGGCCAAGTCCTGGGGCTGCCTTCAATATTGTGTGAGTTAGGTAAAAGTCTCACACAATCTAAACCTCAAAAATAACCTAATATCCCTTCATTCTTCTGATGTGTTGTGAGGGTATTTTTGTGTCACGCCGGGGCATTTGGATTTTATTGTAGGACATAGGAAAAACATTCAATTGTACTAGATGATATTATGCGAGGATTTTCAACTTTTTAATTGTTTAATCCACTGTATCTCAAAGTAAATGTTTGAGTCTCCAATGTGATTCATTTGCGTGCTGTTTGTTGTTTGCCTTTTCAGCATATGCTCTCCAAAGTGGGAATGTGGGATTTTGACATTTTCTTGTTTGATCGCTTGACAAATGGTAAGTTACCCAAAAGAATTCTCACTAAAATATATACCATAAAATGGGATTAATTTCATGAAAAACAAAATTTATTTTTAAACATTGCTATTCGTTTTTCCTTCTTTCCCCATTTTCATAAATCTACAGCTACTGAAGAAGGACCTGGGTAAGGGAAAATCAACTCAAATGAAGAATAAGGACTGAATTTGACCTTAGAATCTTAAGACAGTTTCCTTGTGACCTTGATCATCCCAAAGGAATTTAGAAACCACAGATTAGATTCTTTTCTTGCAGAATATTTTGGCCACATCCAAAAGTAGGGAGTTCATTGTTAGTTGATGAAAACTAGAAACAAAAGTATATCTGATCAGCCCTGACTTTTACTGGGGAGGGTGCTTGTGCAGTTTTATTAAGTGAGCTAAGTCTGCCCTGTTGTGGGTATTGCTCAAATATGTTTGACATCATCAGAAGAAAACAATTGCTGAGGAAAGACTATAAAAGCTTAGGCTGCAGCCAAAGGGAAAAGTAAACATCCTCATTGGTGTCACTTCTTCAGTTTTTGTACCTATAAAGACCTTCCTTAAGAAAATAATAAAAAATCTATTATATTTTTATCTGGCCATTAAACAAAGGCTGATGACTTTGAGGGCCAATGAAAGACACCACATTTAATGCTGATGTTGATAGGCCTCATCATTTGCTAGACTTGTGCTTTAAGTCATTATATATGGTTTTCTCATCATTCTATTACTTGGCAAACAATATGCAGTTGAGAGAAATATAGCCTAAGACCATGAAATGGACCTTTACACTGTGGAAAGCAAACTAGATCACAAAGAGATGAATCCCATAATTTTGCATGTCATTTTGCTCAAATCAACTGAGAAATGGGTACTGGTAAACTAAGTTACCTGTGAACAAAAGAACTTGTTAAATGGTGTTTGTTTGAAAGAGAATATAATCATGACTCTTATAGACATATGAAATGACCACATGCCAGAGATTTTCAACTCAATTAGAGATCCAGTAAGATGCTACAACTGGTTCAAAGGAGAAGTCAAAGAGCCTCACGTGTATACGAAGTATATACCACACATATCTAAGAAATGCTGAAATTGATTTATAAGTAGGTACAAAATCAAGAGGGGGAAATAAATTGTATTTCCACCTAACCGATTTCATTTCCCATATGTTTTCTTCCAGAGTTTCAGGTCTTATGTATAAGTCTTAAATTCATTTAGTGTTGATTTTTGTATACAGTGAAAGATGAGGGTCTAATTTCATTCTTCTGCATGTGGATATCCAGCTTTCCCAGCAGCATTTATTGAAGAGACTGTCCTTTCCCCAATGTGTTTTTGGTGCCTTTGTCAAACATTAGTTGGCTGCAGAAGCATGAATTTATTTCTGGGTTCTCTGTTCTGTTCCATTGGCTTCATTGTCTGTGCTTTTAAAATTCAAAAATCATTATTCCTAAATAAACAATATTTCTTGAATGCTTACAAGTCATTACATCTTCAATTTTGCATCTCTGCTGACTTGAATTCTAAAATAGCTCATAGTCAGATCTCCTCTTGAGTGATTTTCCATAGGAAGAAGAATAGGCTATGATTATTAAGCAATATGGTAGTTTAGATACACCTGTAAATGGAATCGTCAATTGGAAGTGACTTACGGAATATTTCAAGTGGCCATAAGCTGTGTCTTTAAAAAAATACACATGTACACTAAAAAAATACACATGTACACGTGTATTTGTGTGTGTGTGTGTGCGTGCGTGTGTGTGTGTGTGTGTATGTATCCCCGACACCCCAATAGGCAGATTCCTTCTAACTCTTAATGTCTTCATTGCCTTTGGTGAAGGGAGAAGGTCTGAGCTAATTTTACTTGTACAATAAGAAAAAACCTAGGATCAGATCATAGTAATAATATGCTCTATACTTGAATAATTTCACATCCAAAGGGAAAAAAATTCTATCAAAGAAACTTTATTACAGAGATTTTGGATCTTATTGTCAATCTTGATATTTTAGTGATGGTCAAAATGAGTTAAAGTAAGTGACTGTTTTCCTACAGGAAACAGCCTGGTAACACTGCTGTGCCACCTCTTCAATTCCCATGGACTTATTCACCATTTCAAGTTAGATATGGTGACCTTACACCGATTTTTAGGTAAGTCCTTGTTTTCACATTTCTAGCCCCATTCTCTTGAATAATGGCAATGCATAATACTCTTTAACATAAAGTGGTAAGAACCATAGGACGATAGATGAAGACCTCCAACTAATCTTAAATGATCTCATCTTACTTTTAAAATATGGCTTGTTCATCCTAAATCACTTAAAAAGTGTTTGATTGCAAACAACTTGGGGGTTAGGGGTGCTGACCCCCTGTGTAGTCAAAAATCTGTATATAGCTTTTGACTGGAAGCCTCACCAATAACCAACAGTTAATTAACACATACTTTGTATGTTCTATGTATTATTTACTGTATTCTTACAATAAAGTAAGGTAGAGAAAAGAAAAAGTTATTTTAAAAATTACGGGGAATCCCAGCACTTTGGGAGGAGAGCAAATCACAAGGTCAGGAGTTCGAGACCAGCCTGGCCAGCATAGTGAAACTTTGTCTCTACTAAAAATACAAAAAAAAAAAATTTAGCCAGGCTCAGTGGCAGGTGCCTGTAATCCCAGCTACTTGGGAGGCTGAGGCAGGGAGAATCGCTTGAACCCGGGAGGTGGAGGTTGCAGTGAGCCGAGATCGTGCCACTGCACTCTAGCCCGGGTCGACAAGAGCAAGACTCTGTCTTAAAAATAAATAAATAAATAAATAAATAAATAAATAAATAAATAAATAAATAATAACAAGGAAGAGAAAATGTATTTACTATTCATCAAGTGGATGTGGATCATCATAAAGCTCTTCATCCTCATCATCTTCACGCTGAGTAGGCAGAGGAAGAAGAGGAAGAGGAGTGGTTGGTCTTGTTGTCTCAGGGGTGGCAGAGGCAGAAAAAATCTGAGTACAAGTGGACTCACGTGGTTTAAACCCATGTTCTCAAGGGTCAAGTGTAGTTATGTTCATAATAAATTATATGTAAAGAAAACCATCAGGAACATATCATTTTCAAAGAAGATACTTGTCTGCTGACATATTAACAAACCTCCAGCAGCATGTGCCTCAAATAATTCTAATCAGGACATGAGTTATTGAAAATTTTCAATAGGCTTTTTAAAAAATAATAATAACTACCATTTGTGTAGTGCCCACGATGAGCAGAGTACTTTTGGCAAGTTATTTCTAACCATTTAAACAAATCTGCAAGTAGGATGTTATTATCACCATTTGTCCCATAGTTTAGGAGAGGTACAAAGAGGCTTCATTACTTGCCCAAGGCCAACAGCTAGTAAGTGGCAGAATATGAGTCCAAGCCTAGCTCTGTTGACTTGGGAGTCCACCATCTTTCCACTCAACTCCATCATTACTCTGTATCAAAAGGCAGCCTCAGTTCTTATTTAAATTTGTGTGTATTCTTATTTATCTGCTAGTGAATTTTTCAGGGCACATTTCTAATCACCAAATGACTTTCCTCCGCCATTTAGCATGTTTCTGGCTTCTTTTTGACTTGCCACATGGCTGTACTTTGATTTTGGAAGCTGACTTAATGCCATCAGAAGAAAATAACAGGCGTGACAATAATAACGGGAGCCACACCCAGGTTTCTATGGTGCTTACATCTGCTGGAAGCTCTTCCAAGGACTTGCATATATTAGTAAACACATTTAATCCTTATTCCACTTTGAGCTCAGAGTTATTGCTATCCCCATTTTACAAAGGAGGAAACTGGGGGAACTTGCAGCTAAGTAACTTGCCCAATACAGACATTAAAGTGATAGAGGATTTAAATATAATTGTAAAATATACCTGCTGAATATAAGGTATGTGCAACGCAACAGAAATATTTGAAACCAGTCACAACATGGCTCATTTCCAGAAATCCAAATAACCTCAAGCTGATTGTATTTTAATTGATGGAACAAAGTAATGGCCATGCATAGGGCCAAATAATTTTGATTTGTCCAAAAAGGGAGATACAGATATAGATACTTTGGACATGTGTATCTACCCAGAAAATATGTAAAGAATACAAAGACTTGACAACAGAATTAATACCATAATCCAGAGCCAGATTCATAGCAATGGCCTGAGAGAATCTGGCTGTACTTGCAAAGCAGGACACTCTATAGACACTGAATATATTGCATCCTAAGCATCGCCTTGGTTATGAGCTGAAGCAGGCTAGTGTCTTCCATAAATAGCAAACCAAAATTGCCTTGTCTGTGTCTCTACTTGGTTCCAAGAGCACTCTAAGCCTTGCATTAGATTGCAGGAGCATGAAAGATGATACTCTAACTTGAATAAGGTAGAAATAAATGCAAGGAGTCCACAGTTGGATCAAGGCAGTACTCTGAATCTCTGCCCTAAGAGGCCCTGATTTGCTTTCACTGGTATTCGTTATTCAAGTGTTAAACCAGTCTTTGGATATCAGTATTCTGATGCTACTAGGGCTCTTTGAAGGAAACCTCATTTGTGGCATATTATTTATAAATGGCAGAAACTCAGACTATCGTGTGAGATAAAGTTGTCCTTTTCCTACATATTTATTTTTCCTGTGAATGACAGCCTTTATGAAAGTCAGAAAGGTGGGATTTATGAAGGAGGTGAGAAATCCCAAGGCTTCACAACTCTTTTTGGCCTTTCTCCCCTCTGCTATCCATCTCTGCTCTCTGCTAAAAACAGCCTAGCAGAACTGCCAAGCTTGCAAACCACGTTTATTTTTAAAGCATCTCTATGCTGCACATTTTGGAGGCACTGATATTTTTAAGCAAAAAGCACCCACAGTAAGTCTGAGCTAGTACACCACTCCTATTTGGGTTTTAGTTGATTGAGTTATCTGTTTACCTCCCAGTCATGGTTCAAGAAGATTACCACAGCCAAAACCCGTATCACAATGCTGTTCATGCAGCTGATGTCACCCAGGCCATGCACTGCTACCTGAAAGAGCCAAAGGTAAGATGACCCAGCTGCCTTCTCAGCCACCTGGAAATGCCAAGGAAACTAGCTGCTGGGCCCAAGTTACCCAACATATCTGAGTAACTATGTTATGTGTCATTAACAATGTGAACACAAATTATGGATATTAAGTTTCCAGTATCAGCTCTGAAAATCTTACAATGTTCATGAAAAAGAATGGGACTCATCTGAGGTTTTCTTTCATATTTTGTATATTTTTGAGGCTGCATTAGGACAAAAAAAAAAAAACTTCCTCTCTATGGCAAGCTACATCTTAGGTATCTTCAACAGTACATAGAACTAGCTCCGTGCCTTAGATCTCTGCCACAAACAGCACCAGCATTGAACTTTGCTGGGAAAAGTCTCCTACCGCATGAGTTTTGATCAACAAATGGAATCAAAGCTCCTCAAGTCTGATGTTCCCTTTCCTACTGAGCCAACTGGATATCCTGATTCAGGGCCCAAGAAAACTTGTGAATGTCAAAGACCTCTTAGCAAGCATGTTCTGATGCAATAAACCAATCCAAAGTTAAAAATTAAAAACATCATAATAATGCTCAATACTCAACATTCAGGCAGTCCTTAGCTGTATCAAGTCTGTTGGTACAAGGTACAGGATGAGTTTGCTTAAGGTTTCTGGAAAATTATATTCTAAGACTGTTGAGTTCAATCTGTTTTTAACATCCCCCTACATACGTGGATGCTTTGACAGTAACCACTAAATGTTCAGATGTCAAGCAGGCACTCTCAGGGCAAAGCTGAGTGGGTGCCTCATCCCTGCAACATACCCAAGGACATTAATGGCTCTGTTTTTTAATTTCCAAGTAGTCTAAGCATTGCAATATGTCATGCAGTTGTATTTTTAAAGTTAGTATTGGATTCCCATGTCTCTGCTTATTTTCCTAGCTAAACAGAAAATCACAGATTCTCATACATTCTCCCACTATTTATTATACATTGAAAAAAATGCAGATCTTACAAGTCGGCCCACTTCTTTCAAAGTGGCAAAGATATATTAGACAGTTGAAATACACAAATGATTTTTTATTAGGTCCATCACATGACTTCAACTTTTTTCTTCATTTACACATTTCTCTAGGAACAAGGCTGATTTTAGGCCCTGTCTTTTCCCTATCCACCCAACAGCAGTGTTGCCAACAAGCAATGCCATCACAACAACAAAACAAAACAGAGTGGAATAGGAAGAAGGGGATACCAGAATGATCTACACAATTTGAGTTTACCCAATTATTTTCCACACAGTCCTTTCCTTTTTGCCTGTGATTTCATGTGACTGTCACCTCATTTAATGCTTCAAAGGGTAAAGGTCTGGCTGATAGGCTTAAACAATGCCATGATGATCCATTGTGTTTGATTTAGCCAAAATGATTATGAGCTTATTTGTGAAAACATACCAATCTCCCAGTTTGTTTTTTTAACAGCTCGCCAGCTTCCTCACACCTCTGGACATCATGCTTGGACTGCTGGCTGCAGCAGCACACGATGTGGACCACCCAGGGGTGAACCAGCCATTTTTGATAAAAACTAACCACCATCTTGCCAACCTATATCAGGTAAGGGAGCCCAACCTGGCGCCAGACACAGTATGGTCAATTGCCTTAGGCCCGGTGCTGAAGCCCGAATCTCGCCCATGGAGAAAATCTTCTTTTAGGGTTAGCCTCAATGATGGAGACCACATCCAAAGAGCATGGGTTTGAAATAGGCCCAGCATATCCTGCAAGGGAGATTAAATTAATTTACAAGGATATCCAAGGAATTCAATTTGCTCCAAAGCAGGTTTGAAATTGTCTTAAGTTGAACAGGATCCTTGAACCTCCCCTCTCATGGTCTGAGAATATCTGTCTCCATGGAGACTATCTTGTACATAATGGCCAGTTAAAGCCAGTTCCTGCAGGACTGCCGTGGATATTTCCGAGGTGCAACCCTAATTCAGACTTGATTCTGGGGCCATTTCTGAACTGTGTTGGCCTCTGAGTCAGAGATATGTTATTAAAGACAATAGGCGTACTTCATTGTTATAAAATAGTTGAGCAATATGAGAAGGTTGGCCTGAAGAATTCTTCTCTACAATATTGTTTCAGATATTAAGCCCTAGATCGTAAATGAGTTACTTCCAGAATTTTCAATGTGGTTCTTTGAATACCTTCAGCTGTCATTAACAAAATCATTTCACACAAGAGAGTCACTGATATCAGTTTTAGTAGATCTTTTGAAAAAAAAAAAAAAGAGTGCTGAAAGAAATCCTGGCAGATGCCCATAAAATAGCTGCATTAAACAAGATTTTGCAACTTGAGGATGCATTTTTTTTTCAATAAAGTACAATTGGAACATGAAAAGAAGCCTTTCTCCATCCAGTTGATTAGCTTTGGGCACAGATAGGAAACAGGTTTCCAAGACATATATGTTTACCTAGCATATACTTCAATTCTGAGCTCCCTTGAGCTGCCAGCCAGCACCTAGAGCTGGGATAGATATGGCCACGTAGAGGAGACAGGATAATAGAACCAAAAAAGCCTTTTGATGGTGACCTAAAATCTAAACAAAGATTTAAAAAAAGCTAAAACTTAATTTTCTAAACCATCTCAGCAGCAAAATGTATTGCTTGAGAAAAGACACAGATATTTAACTAGGGAAAAAATGAATGACTATTGTGAAAACCCCCAAAACAAGTTTTTTTTTCCCTCCTGTCAATTTTGACTTTTTCAAATGTCATTTATTAGAAAAAGAAAATCAGTCAACAAGGTTGGCTACTCAGTCCATTAACATATAATGTAAATGTTTACATGATTCTAATTTCTCATCATCAAATAAATCCTATCAATGACGTTTCAGAGAGTAACTACTGCTATTGACTGATTTGTACATAAAAACCAAGGTCATAAAACTACACTTTCACATGTAATATATGAAGAACATGTAGCAAGTTCTTATTTAGAGAGGAATTCAGAAAGAAATATGCTAAATATTAAAGAGAGACATAAAAACAAGAAAATAAGTATAGAATTTCATTAGTAAGTGAAGAATTACATGCTCACTGATGATTAACAAAAATTGATTCTCAGAAATACCCCAATCTATCTGATTCAGATACTAAAGATTTTCTCAGAAAAATTGATTTTTTTCTCAAACTTTTGAAGTGAAGATAGTTTTTAATAACATTTCTTTTCTTTTTTTTCTTTCTTTCTTTTTTTTTTTTTTTGATGGAGTCTTGCTCTGTCACCCAGGCTAGAGTACAGCGGCTCGGTCTCAGCTCACTGCAACTTCTGCCTCCTGGGTTCAAGCGATTCTCCCGCCTCAGCCTCCTGAGTAGCTGGGATTACAGGCGCCCACCACCATGCCAGGCTAATTTTTGTGGTTTTAGTAGAGATGGGCTTTCGCCATGTTGGCCAGGCTGGTCCCTAACCCCTGACCTCAGGTGATCCACCCACCTTGGCCTCCCCAAGTGCTAGGATTACAAGCGTGAGCCACCACGCCTGGCCTATTTTCATCTTTTTATTAAAAATGAATACTCTAATACAACCAAGTTCTACAGGCCTTTTCAATGCAACATATAGTCACATATTTTTAATCAGCAATATAAACTTACTGCATATATTGCAATATATGGCTGATTATCCAAGTCCTAGAAGTTCAAAGATGAATGAAACACAATCTCTGCCCTCAAACATTTGTTCAAACTCAGATGCTCAAAATGAGCAAAATCCAAGCAAACTTAATCCCAATTTGAAAGAGGTTTGAGGGATTAGTTCATGTTGATACAATTGTTTTTTTAAAATCTTTAAAGAGTAGATACTTGTGCTGTTCTTTGTATCCAGAGACGTTACTAGAATAAAGTGAGCTACTGGTTTGGTTTTCTTCTCCCCCCACAGTAGTAAATTTATTCTCTAATTCTCTGGCCTTGTCCCTGTAACGAAAGAGAAGAGAGAGGGATCCATGTATGTGTCTCTGTGTGTGTGTGTGTGTGTCTGTGTGTGTGTGTGTCTGTGTGTGTGTTTTCAGAAACAGGGTCTTGCTTTCTCACCCAGGCTGGAGTGCAGTAGTGCGATCATAGCTCACTGCAGCCTGGAATTCCTGGGCTCAAGCAATCCCTCCACCCCAGCCTCCCTAGTAGCTGGGACTACAGGCACCTGCCACCACACCTAATTCTGTTTTTTGTAGGGACAGGGTCTCACTATGTTGCCCGGGCTAGTTTCGAACTCCTGGCCTCAAGTGATCATCCCACCTCAGCCTACCAAAACATTAGGATTACTGTCATGAGCCACCTGGGACTACAGGCCTGAGCTACCATGCCCAACCAAGAAGGATCTCTTTGATGATGACTAGGGAGAAATTGAGGTATAGGTCTAGGGACCACATTCAGGACACTACCTGTATCAGTCACCTGTTCAACTGGTCTTAGGATCTCTTGGAGGCTGTAGATCCATGTCGTTTAAGATTTCAGGACAAAGTTAAAGGCAAGGCAGTATCACATAGCACCATACAGATATCTCCAGTGTTCTACAGCTGGCTAGAATACAAGCTGAAACTTTTCTTAGCCAAATTGGTACTTGTAAATACTGAAAGTAAAAATTGTTTAAAAGGACTTGAAAATAATAGGAAATTTCAATTTTGTCAAAAAATTATGATCCCTTTATTTTTGGCTATATACCATCACTATTAACTATACTAAGGAACATCAAAAAGATGAAAAACATTTCTTTCAAAAAGTTCAGTTCAACAAACTATTTAACTAACCTTTGTTCAACACTTACTATGACCCAAACACTGTGCCAAACGCCTTTGATGTCATATATTATTAATCTTCACAATAGCCCAGTGGCTATTGATACTTGGGAAATGTAAGTGTTTTTCCTGAAAATAAGCAGATAATAGTAGAACTGGAATTAGAACTCAACTTTTTGGTTTCCAGAGCCAAAGTGCCTAAGAACTATGCATACTGCCTCTGAAATTCATACTGATCACCTACCGTGTGCAAGAAACTAACAGCTCTCCTACAATCCTCCTATTGTAGTGAGGCAGACAAGAGGGTTCTAGAAAAGTGATCAAGGCCAGGAGCAGTGGCTCACGCCTGTTATCCCAGCACTTTGGGAGGACAGCCTGGCTAACACGGTGAAACCCCATCTCTACTAAAAATACAAAAATTAGCTGGACATGGTGGCACATGCTTGTAATCCCAGCTACTTGGGAGACTGAGACAGAAGAATCACTTGAACCCAGGAGGCGGAGGTTGAAGTGAGCCAATATGGCACCACTGCACTCCAGCCTGGGCAACAGAGGGAGACCCATCTCAAAGAAAAAAAAAAAAAAAAAGAAGAAGAGAAAAGAAAAGTGATCTAAAGTGTGAGAGGCTTGATAGATACTTTACAGTATTTAGCTACAAACGAATGTGATGGGAAGACGGGGGAAAGGGAAACTGATTCTGCAGATAGTTTCAGGGGGAAAATAAAGAGCATAGAAAAAGAATGCTATAAATTGGGCCTTAGAAAGTTTGAGTAGACCGGGCGTGGTGGCTCACACCTGTAATCCCAGCATGTTGGGAGGCCAAGGCGGGTCGGATCATGAGGTCAGGAGATTGAGACCATCCTGGCTAACACGGTGAAACCCTGTCTCTACTAAAAATACAAAAAATTAGCCGCGCACGGTGGCGGGCGCCTGTAGTCCCAGCTACTCGGGAGGCTGAGGCAGGAGAATGGCGTGAACCCGGGAGGCAGAGATTGCAGTGAGCCCAGATCGTGCCACTGCACTCCAGCCCGGGCAACAGAGCGAGACTCCATCTCAAAAACAAAAAAAAAGTGTAACATTTTTAATAGCTGAGATGAAAATAAGGCATTAGAGCCAGGATGAGCTGATGTACTTTTAGGATTAAATTCCACAACTCCAGAATAACTGAAAATGGAATGTCTGGTGGCCTTTAGCTGAGTATGGTCCTGCCATCTACAGCCCCGTCTCTGATCAGTGTCTTGTGCCTATCATGATTCCATGCCCATGCTCTCTTTTGTAGTAACTTCAGATTAGTTGGACAGGACATGACCTGGATCAAGAAATCTTTACTCCGCATTACGTTATAGATGAGGAACTGGCACAAATCTTCAAGTTTTCAATATCAAAGGGAAAAAAGATAACGTTACATAATATGTAAGCTGAGCAAAACCAACGAAAATACAACACGTGATATTTTAAAATCTTTGCAAATGTAGCCTTTTAGCCTCTCAAGGGCCTGTTTGCTGAGATACAAATGGGCTTTCAGGGAGCTATTTGCAAATTTTCACAGGATGTCTGTATGAACATTTGTCTAGGAAGAGGGTCTATAACTTACTCTCATCAAATTTTAAAATGAGTTGCAGATTCTGAAAATGTTAAGAACCATGGTAATGAATGAAAAATATATATGTACATATATACACAAAAATTATGCATGCACATTTGGTCAACAAGAATACCGTAGAGAGGATGTGCCAGGAATTATGTGGCTTGGGGAACACCCTGTGCGTGACTTTGCTACAATCCAGACTTATTATAAATGAGATAAAATGGAAGAGGGCTTCCTCTCCCT